GGGAAAGAGGAAAAAAATTACTAGAAGTGATGACATTGTAAGTGGGGGGAAAAAAATAAATAATATTAAACAAACAAATAAAAAAAGTCTCAACCATTATTAGGTGATGACTTTGCATCTTATATTTACTATAAAACATCTCATAAAGTAAGTTGGTGAGGCGCACCCTTTTGTCCAATGAAGGCAGATTTCACATATGTGGGTTTTTTTTTTTCCTTGTTTTTTCTCTAGATAAGAACACTGCTCTGCATTTAAATTAGAAAGACCTGTAGCATGTATAACTCTTTTTAACCTTGACAGGGTCACTTCGCATCCTTGCAAAAATAGCATTGTAGGTCTGATGTGGAGTTCTTTTCGTAACAGAAAACAACATACTGAATACCTGGCTTGCCTGGATCTCCAACTTCAGCATAAGCTAGGTAAAGAAGTGACAGATCTGATACCAAATTGCAGAGTTACACTTTGATTATGGGCAGTGTTGTTATTACTATTATTATTGTTATCACCAAATACATGCCAAAGTGGTCACCAGTTCTGAAAGGTATCAGAGAAATCAAGCTGATGGTAGTGTGCTTCCAGCATATTTATTTCTTCCTTTTATTTTTTTAGTTTTAATATTTCTGCAACTTTGACCAGTGCTGTCCCACAACATTGAAAGGAAAGAGCATTTAAATCACCAAGCTGTTTGAGAACTAAATTAGGCAACGGAGGCCAGGTTTTTATGTAAATCAAGCTTCTATAAAGAAGGATTAGGTCCAACTAGCTGGCTTCAATGTGTAAAAACGATATCCACTTCATCGTTATTCTTCCATGTGTGTCCTAGTCTCTAGGTTAATTGACATTCTTATAAACATAAAACTGAAAATAGCTCTAGATGAGCTACTGAAATAGAATTTAGGGCATTTCCCCTCCTTGAATTTCAGCTACGTATGGCTTTCATTACAGCTTTAAAACAGTTCTCGCCCTTAATGGAACCAGGGCCCTCTGAGAAATTAGAAAACACGGTATCCTAGTGAAGGGGCAAGTCAGGAAGAGTTCAGCAGAAATTGCTCAGTCTCATTTCATAAGCAGAGATAATTTACTGCTTTCAATGTTAATAAAATGTGCCCCATTTTAACATTTGGAACTGAATATTTTTCTGTTCTGTAATAAGCCAGAAGAAAATATGATTAATACATACAAGAATTGGTCTCTGAATGGGCTGAGGTGAGCAGGCTGTATATATATGGCACTCAAAATGACATGAGGTAACTTTTATTGTTCCCCATTTTGGGATATACAGGTAGATCCCAGAGGAAGGAGGGAATTAATTGGAAGTTAATTCCTTTCCTAACACAAAAAAGAGTGATCATTTAGGTCTTGCTCTTGAAGCATAAAATAAAAGTGACAGGACGCAGTTGGCAACAAATGCAACTCTGGCAAGAACCCGTATTCTTCTTAGGTGACACACCCAATTGATACATTTTTTCCAACAGATAACAAAAGACTCAACCCGAAAATATTCCTGATTAATACAAATAATTTGTACGCTTTTGCTTCACAATGATCAAATTGACAGAAACAGAATGTATAGAGTTTCAAGATCAAATGGAAGAAATAATTTATGTAATGCACAACACACGAACAGCACGCTGAAGATCATGGGCTGCTGACTATTTGGCATTACAACATTTTGCAAAGCCAAGAAAGCTAATACCACAATAATTTCAAGGAAAGAACCAGGAAAAAAAGTCCTACAAAGTCACCTATTTTAGGAAGCATCTTCATGTGTCTCTGTGATCACTATGATACACAGGAAGAAAAAGTACTTCTAGGCAATGCTATGCCTTCTTTCATGTAACTGGCAAATGGATAAACATCAACTTCTTCCATTATTTTTACACACCAAATAAATACTAATTTTTATTGGCTTGATTCTTTGTACAATTACAGAACTTCTGGGCAAATCCGTTAGTGGAAAATCCCCAGAAAATCAGCAGATCCCACAACATAATGACTTTATACTCCTGACTCCTGGCAGCAATATTAAGGAAAGCATTTTCCTTGAACATTTCACACCACTATATGAAGCTGACAAATACAGTTTCTTGGGGTGACATACAGAAAATTACATTAACTTTCTCTGAATCATCCCAGCAACTGTGTAAGGTTCCAATCAGCCTCAGAATATGAGGCTAAGAGGTGATTTGATTTTATCACATTCCTTTACCCAAGTCTTACTGCAAATCTGGCTTGTATGGAAGACAAAATTGATGCTACGGGGTTTACTTAATCTTGCTCCGTACCTCAGCACATATGTGAGTCTTGAATAGATGTATCTCACTATTGCCATCTAAAGCATTCTGTGTTTTGGAGAAAAACAAGAAACGGTTGGAGAAAAATGAAATAGGGCAAAAATAAGGCAGGGACAGAAAGACAAAGATAAGAGAAAAATGTGTGGAATATAAATTAAGGAGAAAAAACAACTCGGAGAGGAAGAGAGGGAACACTGTAAGTTTAGGGAGAACAAAAACAAAAAGCCAGGTAAAGGAAGGAAAGAATAAGAAGAAAAGCACACAGAAAAACAAGGTAAAGAGCAGATGGCACGGGCTGCCATTCCTGTGATTCAGTGCTTATAATGCAATATAACAACGACAATACAAAGCACAGACGTTAATCTGATCGGCGCAGCCATCCCAGCACATCCAAACATCACGCCGAGAGAGGAGGAGGGAAGAGGAAAGCCACGTGCGGAGGAGCCCAGGGCGTGAGCTGGCGAGCTCAGCAGTCCCGCTCCAGGGTCACAGAAAGCCACAGAAGAAAGCAGCATCAACTGGAAGTTGAGTTCACACTTATTAGGACGGTAAATGGAAAAGCTGCAGTACAGCTTAGTGCATTCACCATATCTAATAGCACAATCATCTGTGAAAACAGAAAAATTGTTGAGAGCTGCAAGAATATTCCTCAGCCAATTATCCACAATTGCTGGGTACTTCCAAATAACCATCAGTGAGCCTGAGCAGATCACCCTCTCCACACACTGGCAAGAGGCTTTTGTTCATTGAGAAGCCAGCCCTTCTCAGGGCCTTCTTGGCAGGGCACAAATACTAGCATTTTAAAAATTCGACACAAGTGGCGAAATGTTGCCATCGGGCTCCTCTTCTTCATCCCATGTTCTTATTTTGCTTTATTCTAATTTTAACATACGGTATGCAGCTCCCTTTATGCTTGCCATGGGTGTCACCCTACATTTCACAAGGGATGCCAAAGAGAAAGATCGCTGACAGCCCGCCCCGCGTGCCCACGCTGGGACCGCAGTGCAGCCGGTCTCCTCGGAGAGCAGGACCCTGGCGGCTGCCGCGCAGCCCCCACGGCAGTGACGGCGATGCGGCGGGGAGCTGCTCTCCTCTGCCAGCCCGAAGGCAGTGCAAACATCCTCACGTTTCCAGAGGCAAAGCCTCGGAAGGGCAAAAGCTTCTGGATGGCTATGCCTCGCTGTCTGGAAAGGCGCCGGGGGACCGGAGAGCTAGGAAGTACGGCTAAATCGTACACACAGACTACAATGGTGCTGTAGACAAAAGTTAATTAAAGTTTGATTGGTCTCTTTGTAGCTCGAACAAGCTGATGCTGCTCAAACAAGATAGATGTCTGCAAGCTGTCACATCGGTCTTTAAGGCATGCAAAGTCCTGTACGGCCATTTATAGGCACCCGCGAGCGCAATCACAGAAAGCAAGCACATCCAGCAACGGCAGTGCCGAGATAAACACTCGCAGGCCAGGCACCTGCCAGAGTGAGGGGGAAAGAAGAGAAAAGAAGTCCCCGCTACCAAGGCAACTGCTTACCAGCACCTGCCAGCTTAGGCCCAAATCCAGGCCTCGGTCAAACTGATGCTCATAAACTCAGGGAATTACATGGAAACCGAATTAATTTCCTCGACCGAGGCTCCAGCAATTTGTTTAAAGGAAGAGGAGATAAAGCCACAACGTTTATGGGGTAGGAGGGAAGGTGGCGGGGTCAAAATTATTCTAGGCTAGATATCCATGCCTTAATCCTGCTTTCCACTACAACAGCTTTCAGGCCCTTAGAAAGAAAACATTTTTATAGGATTTACATTTACATGATGATTACAAATAACCATCTGTCTGCTTCCACTTTTTCAATCTGGTCCATGTCCCACGAGCCCCCAGCCTGTGGTCAGAGCAGCTAAGCTGGAAGGAAGAAGTGGATGCCCGTCAGGAGGCTTTGGGATAATTGCATTCTTCTCCCACCAGCACTCAGCTCTCCACCTCCTCCCCCCGGCGTGTACGGTGAACATCTGAGATTACCAGGGATGGGAGGAAAGGAAATACTATCTTTTTTGCCTTTTTCAATGAATGATAATGTCTTAAAACACAGCTACATCTGTCGTGCTGACTAGAGGGTATAAAGAGTTATCGAGTAAATATTAATGTGCTTCTGTAACTTGGGTCCTGGTAGTTTATCCTCCCCCTCCTATTCTGTTTTGTGCTTATCTCAGGACAATATTATTCTCGTATAAAGATTTTACACAGCCACTTCGATGGCAGGTTGGTCACCTGCCAAACGCAGGTAGGTCTCCCCTGATTCAAGGCACTGCCCCACAGGCATTTTCCTAAATCCTCGTCTCTCCACCACTGCTTTGGCACTTCTCTCCTCCGATACATACCAATATGCACAATCAACATGAGTTATTATGTCAAATAACTGCCCAGATGTCATGCAGTGGACAGATTAAAGGATTATTATACTTTAGGTAGCGTATGGTGCAGGGGGGTATTTTAGAACTTGGCTAATGTGCATGATCTACTGAAACAGTCCCTGAGCAAGCTGGCACTACCTGCTGACATGGGGTGACAGAAAAAAAACGAGGGCTCACAGACAACCTTCCTCATGAAGAATACTACTACACTTTGTTTAAGGATGCTGCTGCCCTACCTCTTTGTTTCCGCAACTGCCTCTGTCACATTTTGAAAGAAAAATGAAAAAAAAAAAAAAAAAGTCACAACCTAGTCCTAGGCCAGACTCCCAGGGAGTTCCTGAGCTCCCTCCGTGTGTGCACAGGCTGGGAAAGGCTACCATCTTTTTTTAAAAAAAGATAAGGAACTACTGTTCTTTTTCCCATCCTTCGCCTATCTCCTGATACAGATACTGCCTAAGAGACATGAATGCTAGCTAATTTACCATCACTTAAAATGTTCAGACTTTACTTTAAAATGAGGCCCCAAACCCATGAGATTAATTTTCAGAGGTATTAGGGTATTTTCAAAGAGTCCAATAGCTTCAACAATGTTTGATTAGTAGGGTACCTAGAAATCAAAGTGAGGAAGAGAGCATCAGGGAGATACCTGCATCAAGAAACAAAAGAAGGAGAATCTTCCTCCTTGCAGATTCAGCAACTTTCTTTGGCTTCATCCCTTTTTCTCACTCAGTATTTCATGTGCTTCTGAACTCAGTAACCTACTCAGTACTTACAGTTAAAGGTAGCTTGCTCTTTATTCTCAGGCCTCAGCGAAGACCAAAACGTGGAAAAAACACTCCATTCTGACACATCTTCTAAAACTTCTAACAGTTCATACATACAGATACAGACATTTAGAGAATTTGGACTTTGTGATGAGCATTAACGTCTAAATGTGAAAGCGGAGACCCTTGCTTCTAAACACAGAATCTATTAAACCAGGTGAACAGAGAATTACAGTGTTAGAAATCAGGTGCATGAACCAACACTGACAACTAAGTAGACAGATTCCAAATGGAGTCAGTGGGAGATAGCTGGTTTTTTTTTCTCTCCTCTAAATTTCAGTCTGAGATATATCCCAACTAGCTGATTGCACAAAGGTCAGGAAAGAAGATAGGCTTTTTCCTTTCTCATTTACAGCACACACAACAAGAGTCAGACTTTGAAATCTTTCTTCAACAGTTAACCCAATTAAGGGCACTGCTGACCTATTTTCCCTTCTACACAATTACACAGGTATACAAGTGATAGTTATTGCAGACATTAGCTTATGATTTGTTTCTGATTTTTTAAAGACTGCTATTTGTGCTGAATTAAGCATATGCAATACAGCTTGAATATATTTACTGAAAAACTGTATAATGTCCTTGCCTTTCTTGTGATTCATTGTACTCACTTGAATGCAATCTGACATATCCATAATTTTTTCTGAAAAATTTTATTTGACTACTAGATAGCATGAAGACTGAAGATTTTTTCTAATTTGGAACATAACATTTTTATTTTTAAGCTTCCAAAGTTCTATCACCTGTCTTCATTGCAATGAAGCCCCAATAACCTTCTCTCTTTTTTAAACGCCCGCCTCCTTCCACCAACAAATTCTGAATGCTGCAGTTAACAGTCAGCAATCTCATTACCCATCTGCCATAAATCTTCAAAAGCATCACTGTGTTTTGACAGTCAAGAAAGGCAAAGGGAAGCAATAAGCATAACCAAGTATTCTTTATGAATGCAAATATCCTGGAGACCACATTTAAGTAATTTCAGAAATCTAAAGCTATACAACGTAATAAGTTGAAAAATTTTCTCTAGGATACAGAGCAGATTTCTTTTTTCTTATGCTTAAAGCATAATCAGTCTTGATGAATGCACTGCACAGATTGCTAATGCTAACAAGAGACATGTTACCGAAAGAGTTTTATTTCTTTGAAACTAAAAACCCTATTACTTGCTTAAAAGTTCAGAGACTTTCTAGAAGAACTGGTACCACAATTGCAGACAAGGAACTTTGAAAAATGTGCCTGGTCTGTTGTAAGTCTTAAGATTTAACAAGGATCAGACATTTAGCAGTTTACTAGAATAGTTATTTAATGATCCTTTAAACTCAAGTCTGACGTTAGCTTTTACATGCCCTTCACATTTAATGGACTACATATTCAGAAAATCATGGGCAAGTAATTTATTTTTTCCCAACTAATGTGAATATCAGATGTGGAACCAAGCACAGCTTCAAAAAACACCACATCACAACTGAAACACTTTCACTGTCACTTTTATGCCAGCATGTCTTTTTTGCAGCAAGAATATGGGACTAGTTTCACCAAAAGCACTAGAGGACTCTTCAAATCACATCAACTATGCTTCTCTCCAGCAATGCAGTAGGGAGGATCGTGTTTGGTAAGGGAGGCAATGCTCCAGAATCCCTTGTAGGCTACTGTCAGAAAAAGGATAGACCGGCCTAGACAGACCTTTGCTCTCCTGTAGTACAGCCATTCTTAGGTACTAATAAGCAAAATTAAAAAAAAAAAAAAAAACAAAAAAAAACAACAAAGCAAAACAAAACACCCCACCACCCCAAACTTAAAGGAATTAGAAATATATAACCAGTTTTCAAAAGCAATGCCATCCAAAAAACCCCAAATGTTACTGTCAGAGATATACAAATGAAATTCAGGTAGGAGCTTTTCATCGAGTGCTTCAGAAGAACACACCGAAACTGCACTGTACATACAGAGTACAGCACAGCGATTCCCCAGAAAATACAGGTTTAATTAGTAAGCGCAGAAACCACAGTATAACAGCATGCAGGTTTACTGTTGTGAGTACAAAAGTAGCACTGCCAAGTACCTGCAGCACTATGCTCAACCTAATGAATGCTACCTAGAGTTTCACACAGAACTGAGCAATTGTGTTTTTTCTGTTTCCAGACTGAAGCTGGTTCTCCTGCAACCACTTTAGCTACTTCAGTCACCTGGGTTTACAGTTTGAGCGCGGCCAAAACACCTAAAATGTACATGTGCCCTCAGTAAAACAAAGGAACAAGAACAGATGAGAATCATGAAAACGAATACAAATGAATGAATATTTCTTGTACAAGAAATATATAATGTTACATGCTTCATTTAACCAATATAATACAGACGGCAATCTCCAAGCTCCACTGAAGTGTGAATAGCCTCTAATAAACTTCTTGTGTACACATGCACAACACATACACAACAGCTGGGATGCTTTCCCGTCTTGGCGGGGGGTCACTGCCACATTACTGCTATACTTTAGCCACATTAGGCAAAGCAGCAAACAAAACAGGCTGTTGCCCAACATAGGAATTCTCCTCCTTTCATCCCCCGACCTCCTGCCCATACCCTGGTCTCTATCAAGCTTTATCTGTTA